GAAATAAATAAAGAATTGTTATTTAAACCTGAATTTTTCACTATTTTGTTACTAAAAATTGAGATTTAGAGTCACGCATGCACCTTTTACGGCAAACGGACCGCATACGGCAAGTCAGATTGAAGTTTCAGACAATTTCAGTCTCAACTTAGGAAGTGAAATTGGCATGAAACTACTTATTTTGCGTATTTTAAAATAATGATCAGTAAGGGAAAACTGTGTAACAAAATGACGTTTTATCCATAAAACTTTCTGTAATATAAAATTATCCAACGAATAGGACCTATTTGGCGGATTACCTCTCATATGCTGATTTTCTCTTAACGCGTAACGGCCCCTGATTTTGTGATGTGCGACATGAATTGACACTTAATGGTTCCATGCCTGCAAAAGAATCCCATCGTCCGAACGAAGGCAATTACTGTATTCAGTTTTAGATTAACTTTAGTTTACAAGCTAGGTTTCTTGTAAACTATAAGAGCAGCTCCCTTTCTGCCGTGATTTCTTTGAATAACTTTATTAATCTGGCTTCGAGAACCCACTGAACACGCATGGTTGGTGGAACATAATGCTCACAGTTCTATGACTATCAAGAAATATAACGTCAAAGCTCGCTTTAGCGACCACCACAGGAATTTATAAAAATCACGTCTCATGTCGTTTACAAAAACTGGCTCTTGTAAGCGACCATGCTCCTTTCTGCAGTAATTCTGCAAGGCGCAAGACAAGCATAATCATCTATATCTCTGTTGTGCTTCATAAAAAGAACCTATTCTTTAAAGAAAACGTAACATAGTTAACATACTTCGTACTGGTGTGGTATGGACATATTTTTTGAACTCCGAACAGCCCGTTGTGAGAAATGTTTAAATGAATTCGATTTTATTTATCAATACTATATAGCTGACAAAAGAGTTACGCCTCACTGAATGACTCTCTGTGAAGTGAGCTCCCTGTATAAAGATTGTTATTATTATTATTATTATTAACTCTCTTTTGGTTATGAAAAACAACTTCCGAAGCTAAAGAGCTAATCTCCAGCACAAACTTTGTTAACTTTTTGTTAACAGTTCGCATCGTGTAAAACGAAATTGTTTTCGCGACGTGTGTAGTCAAGACCACCTGATTTTGCGGTGCACGATGATAGACTGAATCCACCGGGAACACTGTTATTAATAAGCAAAAAAATCCTCACAGGCGCTGACTCAATAATCTGATGAAACCCTTATTGTCACAATAACGGACTGCAAAATCAAACAAACAAGAGGCTCAAATACACCATGGTCACTGATTCTGAAAGGCGGCAGCTGGGTGATTAGAGTTTGTCAGCAACACCTGAATAGCTCTCCACTGGTGAGATTCATTCATTTACTTCGGTTCACCAACCATCTTAACAGAGTCGACACTGCAACGGGGTGGCGCCAAAAGCGCTTTGCACTATTTAATACTGATCAAAGGCTCTTAGGAGCGAGCTCATGGATGAATTTAATTAGTGTCGAAAAGACAGTTCAATAATCAAAGTAAAACATATATATCTTTTAGCTTCTTTTTGGACGGTTCTTTGTGTACGGACTTGAGAAAATACAGTGTGAGTCGAAGTATCCGATTGCATGTGCACCTGAATCATTCAACAAACTTGTTATCGGCACAGCATCTCTACGATTCTACTTAACGCAAAGATCACTTTAAGCTTATTTTTTATTTTTTAGTCGTGAAATAATTTGCTTTCTCATTTGACTGTCAAACTCTTTCCGAACGATGGTGCACTTTCTTGTGAAATAGCTACGTTTTACGTAAGGCCGAGTTTTATTTATACCGTGGTTTTAAACAATTATTTTAATGGGCCTCGAGGGTTTCCTGTAATTGCTTTTGAATAAATGTTTTTATACGCTGTTCACAAAGAGTACGTATCGGTTAGTATATGTACTACGAGCTATTAAATACAGAATACAGACGTTTATGGCTAAATTAAACTGCTATTAATTAGAACGCGCTTTTGCTTAACACTAGCTGAAAATTATTTTAAATCAGACTAAGCTCGAAGCTGTCCGGGGGCGGGGGTGCGGGTGCTCGACCAATATTTGGGTATAGGTGAGCCGCTAAGGGTTTGAAATCCTGTCCCTGTTTAGGACAAAAATTCCTAACATGCATACCCTATTTAGGACAACGCCGTCAATTTTAGTACCCTGTTTAGGGCCCAACACCCTGTTTATAATTAGAACAGACTCGATCTAGCTCGCACAAATCATGCACACTGTTTAGGACAGACTTACACGAAATTGTATACCCTGTGTTGGACAGACTCGTGCGAAATTATATACCGACAGAGAGGACGAAAACCATACCCTCTCCAGCGGCACATCCCCGTATAGGCCATATAAGGGAGTAGCCCCCCCCGGGGAAGCTGTGCGTGCTCTGACCTACAATAGCTAAAAGTAATTTAAACGCAGTCGAAGTATCCGATCGCCCTTCTGTACCTGAATATTCTAGAAACTTGTTT